GCCTGGACGTGCAGATGGAGACCTGCAGGAGGCTCATCAAGGGCTCAGCTGACAGGTAAGGGCTCCTCTGCTGCCCCAGGAGCTCCTTCCTGCTGGAGTTCTGGCTGCTGGGTGTCGGAATCTGTGGGTATTGGTGATTCTGAGATTGTAGAAAGTCTCTGTCTGTCAGCCCCGCTGCCAAAGCAGAAGCCATAATTGGTCTGTGCTGGTTTCAAGGGTGTTTATTCTGTTTATCTCTAACATGTTCTGCTGCCCTGCCGCAGCTCTGTCCTGCAGGGCAGCGTGTGGGGCTCTGCCCTCAGTGGGATGGTACAAACATTAAATACCACAAACTACCTGTGCTGGATTTACAATAACGTGCCAATATCTGTCACCTACGTTGGACAGTGTGTCCCCAGCCTGAACCAACAGAAAAATGCCAACACCACAGTGAAACATGGAGGGCATGAAGAAGGAGAAAAAGGACAAGGCACACCCAATTTCCTCCATCTTGTCCCCTTTGGACCCCTCATCTAGAATCCTAAAATTTTACTTTTGCACCCATGCCACACTTAATTATTACTCATATCAAACACTCAGAGCTTGTAATTCATCTTGTAAGATTGAAAACTCTTTTCCATGGACAGAGATCACAGCCAGTGTCTCTGGGGGCTCTGTCCAGGGAGGTTCTGACCCCTGCCAGGGTCCCAGACCTGCCAGGGCAGCCAGAGGGAAGATCTGGATTCCCACAGCTGGGAATTTCAGCCTTTCTGTGCTGACAGGCTCTGACCCCCAGGAGAGCACAGCAATGACCCGAGGCCCTGGAGAAGGCTTCCAAAATAATTGGGATTATGGGTGTGTGGTTGGTTAGAAGTGTGTAATATCACAGGGTGGAAAACTTAAGAGTTTGGGGTTTTAGAATATAGTAATATATATGGAGCAAGATGGAGGTTTTAGGGTGGAGGCTTGTCCTTCTTCTTCACCTTCTTCTTCACCTTCTTCTCCACCTTCTTCTTCACCTTCTTCTTCACCTTCTTCTCCACCTTCATCTTCACCTTCTTCACCTTCTTCTTCATGGGTTTGGGTGGTATTTTGTAACTGGACAGAAAAGCCTGCATTGCAGACTTGGAGGGATTAGTTATTGGGTTAAAAGTGAAAATAATTTAGGTGTCATTTCTCAATTGGATAGTTTAGCCTTAAAAGGCCTTGTAGAGAAAGGTAATTGGCCATTTTGTGCCTTGTTGGTGAAGGACTGCAGAACTCACTGCTGTGGACTGCAACATGGATAAGAAATAATAAACTCCTGAGTCTGAGCATGAACTACATCTCGAGTGCCTTCAATCCTGACCTTGACAGAGGCAGAGAAAGAAGCTGAAAACCAGCACATCCCCTCCTGGAGAGGGCACCTAGGAGAGAGGCTAGGCAGAGTTAAAGGAATAAAGTAGGGATTTATTGATTTATTGGGCAGTGCAAGAGCCTGGCTGTGACTACAGCCAAAATGGACCAGGGGTCACGAGTTTTCACACTTTTACAAGTTTAGCCATTTGCACATTGTGGGTTAATTGTCCTCTTACAGTTTCAGGTAATGAAGTCACATTCTCCCAGTTTGCTTTTGTTCACACTTTCTGGGGCCTGAAGCTGCAATAAGTTCCTCTTGGTTCTGGGGCTGGAAAACGATTGTTTTTTCTGACTAAACTGTGAAGAGAACTTGCTAACACTCTGTGTGAAGTTCAGAGTTACACACTAATGCCACACAGAATCTGAGAAATACAAAAGAAAACTTAAGGCATCAGTTCCTGCCAGCTTGGGCTAAAGGCAGCACTGTCACTTGATGGCCTTGTCCTTAGGAGCACCTTGTGACCCAGATCAGCCCTGAGAGGGGGCCTGCAGCAGAGTGTGGGCTCCTGTTCCTTGGCACAGCCCCAAGGCTTCAGCACCTGCTCCTAAACACAGGGAGCTCCAGCTCAGCTGGACTTGCAGTCTTCAGCATCTCAGATTTGGAGCTCTTAAAACCCCAAATTAAATCTCAACTCTGGACTTACATGAAAAACTTGTTTTTTTAATCTTCTCATGTGTTAAGAACCTTACACTGTGAGGGATTTCTCTTATCTCTTGCTCAACCCCGGTAGAACAAGATGATAAACTTTCAATTTTCAGGGCTTTGGGTATTAGGGATGCTGAGAGTAAACCTGAGCCATCCCCATCAGTAAACCTGGGCCAGCCTCTGTGTTTGTGTAGGGGATGGGTGGGTGGGCTGATATTTACTGTAAACCCAACGTTTAATTTTATTAAAGGGTTTTCTGAATAGCTTGGGAATGCCAGTGTTAAATGTTAATAAAGGGGTTTTTAAATAGTATTGGAAGGAAAAGTGACTCTTTTCTTGTAAGACTTTTTTTCTTCCCTCTATGATGGATATGTAACTTTTGGGCTGCACCTTTCCCTGCAGGAATTCTCCATCCCCCAGCTCGGTAGCCAGCAGTGACTCAGGAAACACAGACGAAATTCAGGATGACTTGGACAGAGAGACGGACGTGGAGCCCATGGTCAGCTGATAGCAAGTGGGAGCATCCCAGTCAAGGGCAAGATGGAGAGAGAAGATTCCAAACCAATTGCTGGGGGAAAGGTGAAAGACTCGAGAGCCCCCTCAGAGGGACTCTGAGGACTCATTCCTACACACATCCCCTCCCAGCCAAGGATTGGTGCTGTACATTTCTATTGTTCTACAAACCATGAATGCAGAGTCCTGTAGGAAACACCGTGTTTTAATTGTGCCTTTGCCCCAAGCTGAGCCACTTTGAGCTCCAGTGGAATATTAATAGCAGGTGTTTTTATAAAATATATTGTTAAAAAAAAAAAAACAAACAACCAAAGCTGGTGGCAGCAGAGGATGGTGCTGCAGAGGCTCTGGGTACTTCAATAAGCTGCTGGTTTTATTGAGCTGCTGCACTGATTGGCAAAAGCAACATTGGCAAAAAGAGCAGCAAAACCAAGACAATTGTGGTGCAATTACCAATGGCTGGCACAAGAAAAAAAGAAAAATAATTGCCTCCAAATTGAGCTGCAAATGTTTAAAATTAACAGCGGGTTTGGAGACAGCTCCTAGGGTGAAGCAGTTCTACAAAATTCATTGGGTTTTCTTCATCCCACCTTTTGGGGTGAGGGAGCCTTTGGGATGTGTCCAAGGTTTCTTCTGGACTCCAGGAGCTGGAGGAGCAGGACTCAGCTCGGTGGCAAAGCTGGGGGGCACAGGAGGGGTCACTGGGGGGGGACTATCACTGAGTAACTTCTATGCAAAAACAAAAAAAAAAAAGCTCGCCTTATTTATATGGAATGTTTGGTCCTTGTTGGGCTACAGTTATCCCTTGGGAAAAGGAAAGCTAAACCCACATTTGCACACTTAGATGTCTGTAGAGCTTCTTTTGAGGTGGAATGTTGTATCACAATGCCTTTGTTTCCAGTGGTTGGATTAGGAGGGGGGTCAGCCCTGGTTTGTGTCGTTTTTCAGGGTTTTTTTTTAGTGTTTGCAGAATTTCCTTTGCTGACAGAGATAACTCCATTTATGCTGCTTCCATGATGTGTAGAGTGGGGTAGGTGAAGCATCAGGATAAACTGACCTAGGTGTGGGCTGGAGACAGGACTTTGGGAGAGGTCCAGAGCACTGTTCTTGGGGAAGGCTGAGCACTGGGAAATGCTGTAATCCTTTTTAGGGCGTAGTAAACTGAATCCCAAAGTGCTGCTGCCCTAGAACTGGGGAGGAACAGCCACGTGCTTTCTCTGTGAGAAAGTGGCAAGACCTTGGCTTTGCCCATCTTTCTGCATTTTTACCCAGGAGAAGCAGCATCAAAGTTGGATCACGCGGTGGTGGCTGAGGAAACCCCAGCCCCACTGAGCTCTCCACAGTTAGAGTGGGAATTGTAGCCCCTCAGCCAGGTAAAAACAGGGTATAAACCTCAGCCAATAACTTCTTGTTTGTTTTTAAACCAAGACTGAGAACGTAGTTGATACTGCCCAAAGCCAGCTGTGGGGTTTAGCAGTGGTTGGAACTCAGAATAAATACCAAATGTGTTTGTTTTGCCTGCCAGGAAGATTGGGAACTGCTGTGCAGGAGCAGTGCTAGGGCTGGACAGGGAAAATCCCGATTTCTGCACCCTCTCAGTGGTAGGGAAAGGCAGAGTGGCCAATCCTGGGAGCTTCCTGAATGGTGTTCCCAAGCCTCTGGATCTCTGGAGTTGCAGGAGAAGCAAGCAGCCAGGGCAGATCCGTGCTGCTCCATTCCATAGGGAGCACAGGTCTCTTGGAAAAGGGCTCATTCCTGGTGGGACTCCTCAGTCGGGGGGTCCTGGTGGAGCTGTGGGCACGGGAATGTTTCCCCTCCTGTGCTGCTGCCTGGCTGTCAGCTCCATCTCCTGCCTGGACACGGCCAGCGAGCTCCCTGCCTTTTCCAGGATCCATCAGCATCCACAGTGTGCAGGGCACGAGCTGTAGCTGATGGCTTCTGTCCCAGCCCGTGGGTCCAGGGGTATTCCTGTGGTGTCCTTACTGGTGGCAATGCTCAACCTTGGATCCTGGGGTGAGGGGCTTCCCAAAGCCTGATCTGTCCTGTAAATGTAGATAACTTTTCTCTGGAAGAGAAACCTCATTCCAAAGTGCTCATTCCTGTTATTTCTTAGGTGGCCAAAGTGGTAAATGTGATGTTCGCTAGGGCTGCAAGCTGGGTGTGTGTGTGGGGGGTGGGATTTGGGGTATTTTTCGGGCTGGGACTGCACGTTTAAAATCTACAATTTGAAAGGGTTTGAAGGGTTTTGAACTTCAGCTGCTCCCGAGGAGCCTCTCCTGAGGCTGAGGGAGCGTCTGCTATGTCTGGATGTCTGTGATGCTTCAGTGGCCGGGGCAGGCATTGCTCAGCACAGTGAATCAGCTCCTGGAGCCTGTCCCTGGCTCCCTTCCTGGCTCCATTCCTGCCGGGATCGCTCCTGGAGCTGCCCCTGGCTCCTCTGCCCAGGATCGCTCCTGGAGCTGCCCCTGGCTCCCTTCCTGGCTCCATTCCTGCTGGGATCGCTCCTGGAGCCTGTCCCTGGATCACTCCTGGAGCTGTCCCTGGCTCCTCTGCCCAGGATTGCTCCCGGAGCTGCCCCTGGCTTCTCTCACCGGGATCGCTCCCAGAGCTGTCCCTGGCTCCCTTCCTGCTGGGATCGCTCCTGGAGCCTGTCCCTGGATCACTCCTGGAGCTGTCCCTGGCTCCTCTGCCCAGGATTGCTCCCGGAGCTGCCCCTGGCTTCTCTCACCGGGATCGCTCCCGGAGCTGTCCCTGGCTCCCCTCACCCTGAAATGCTCCCGGAGCTGTCCCTGGCTCCTTCCCCCGGGATCGCTCCTGGAGCTGCCCCTGGCTCCTTCCCCCGGGATCACTCCCGGAGCTGCCCCTGGCTCCTTTCCTGCCGGGATCGCTCCTGGAGCTGCCCCTGGCTCCCCTCACCGGGATCGCTCCCGGAGCTGCCCCTGGCTCCTCTCACTGGGATCACTCCTGGAGCCTGTCCCTGGCTCCTTCCCCCTGGATCGCTCCCGGAGCTGCCCCTGGCTCCCTTCACTGGGATCGCTCCTGGAGCTGCCCCTGGCTCCCTTCCTGGCTCCATTCCTGCCGGGATCGCTCCCGGAGCTGCCCCTGGCTCCTCTCACTGGGATCACTCCCGGAGCTGCCCCTGGCTCCCCTCACCGGGATCGCTCCCGGAGCTGCCCCTGGCTCCATTCCTGCCGGGATCACTCCCGGAGCTGCCCCTGGCTCCCCTCACCGGGATCACTCCCGGAGCTGCCCCTGGCTCCCCTCACCGGGATCACTCCCGGAGCTGCCCCTGGCTCCCCTCACCGGGATCGCTCCCAGAGCTGTCCCTGGCTCCTTCCCCCGGGATCACTCCCGGAGCTGTCCCTGGTTCCCCTCACCCTGAAATGCTCCTGGCACCACAGCTGCTGTCGGGGTCGTGCTGCCCTTCCACTCTGGGTTTGTTATTTTTCATTAAAACTGAGGTAGCAAAGAGGCTGAGTGTTCCCAAACAGTGTTGTGCTGAGGGCAGGGAATTCCCACAGCAGGAATTGGGGTGTAGGGTGGGCAGGAGCACCCACAGTGGGTGCTGAGGGAATTCCCACAGCAGGAATTGGGGTGTGGGGTGGGCAGGAGCACCCACAGTGGGTGCTCAGGGAATTCCCACAGCAGGAATTGAGGTGTAGGGTGGGCAGGAGCACCCACAGTGGGTGCTGAGGGCAGGGAATTCCCACAGCTGGAATTGGGGTGTGGGGTGGGCAGGAGCACCCACAGTGGGGTGGGTGAGAGGGGTGTGGGGTGTAGTAGAGGGTGTAGAACTCATGTGCATGGTGGTGATGTGTAGGACAGTAGAGGTTCCCATGGGTGTCGGTGTCTTTCTTGTAACCACATGTAATCCATTTTTAAAGAAGAAAAGGTGTTTTCGTACTCGGGGTCGGGGTTTATTTTCATTTAGGCTGGACCAGCCTTTTGGGGCAGCTGGGGTTGGTCCTTGGGGGTTTCCCTGGGAGGTCGTTGGTTCCAAGTCCGGCCGTGCTGCTGCTCCTGCTCCGTGTGTGTGGCACCGCTCCAGAAACCAGATCAAAGCTTGCCAGAGAAAAAAAAAAAAAAGAAAAAAAGGAATTTAATTGTAAAAATGCTGGAAATGATCTTGATGACCTCTTTCTTTTTTTCTTTGTAAAGCTGTAAATACTTTATTTTTGTTTTCTATTCTTAATGCGGTGTCATATTGACACTTTTTTAGATTTACAGTCAGAAAATCCTCCTCATTGTTTCTCATTTTTTAAAAGGGGATTTCAAGGAAGCAAATTTTTTTGCTCGCTAGCAGTGTAATAATAGATCAAATTCCTAAACTGGGTTTGTACAAAAATGTTTTCAGTAAACAAATGGCAGTTTGTGGATGCATGTTGTTCAAAAATGTCCAAAGAATAACGTGGTACAAATGTTTTAAAGAATAATGTGGTACAAACATTTTTTTCAAAGACTTAGTGATTATCATCTTAGTTCACACAAGGAAAAAAAGCAAAATTATTTAAAAAAAATGTTTGGGGGGGAATGTAATGAAACTCATCTAAGCTAAATGTGTAATCTATTTATAAAAACACAGTATATATTCTATTTTTATCAGAGGTTTTTAAAGTGCAAACAGATTTCTGTTGGCAGATGCAATTGTTCCCTTGTAAAGTCTCTTCTGCTCTGTGGGACCCCCAAATTCTCTGATGGTTCCAAGAGTCAATGTGGAAATCACCAGGACAGGTTTGGCTGTGGAGCACTCACAGGGGAGGCTGCAGCTTCAGCATCTCTTCTGCCTCTGCAGAATTGTTGCTGTGATTTTATTCCCTTCCCTGTGCTTTTATTCCCTTTCCCCGACTGGGAGGATACTCCTGGAAAGGGTCAGGACCTCCTGGAGCACGGCAGGACAGGGGTTAAACTCTGCCTCAGCCTGGAGAATATAAAAATTAAATATAAATAATATTCCTACCTGTAGAAATTTGGATTAACTCAACAAAACCAAACAACAGATGGGAATCCTGCCTGAATATGCATCCAGAGCTGCTTCTGAAGGGAAATAATATTAATTTTCTTTTCCGTGCTCATTGCTGCCAGCAGAACCACGAGCAGGGTGCTCCCGGAGCCGCTCCGTGTTTCCCTTGGCTCTGGGAATCCGGGATGTTTGTGTTGGAAGAGCTGCAGAGCTGTGAGGTTTCATGTTTGAGTGCTTCATTTTAGAGCTGAGTGTTTAAGGAGCGATTTATCCCGGCTAAATTAAGACATCCCAGCACTTCCAGGAGGCAGGAACACCCCAGTGAGGATTTTCCACCTTTGGCTGGAGGACTTTTGGGGTTTTTCTCCTTTTAAATGCTGGGTTTTAAGCTTTTTTAGCGGGATGTAATGTGTGTCTGTTTGAGTTTTAGCTAAGAAACAAAATTACCAGCGAGGCAAGAGGTTATTCCTGGTGGGAATAACAGCAGAGGTGAGCTGGGAGCTGCTCCCTGCCTGCCAAATTCTCCGTGGGAATGGGATGCCAGCCCTTCTCCCTGGCCCAGGCTTTGGCACAGCAGTGGGGAAGCACTTGAGCTTTCCCTTTCTGTCTGTTTTTGTGCAGCTTCGCTGTCCTCAGACCCTTCTGCGTTTGCAGGAGCCTTTCAGAGCTTCTCTTTTGAAGGAGCAACAAATTGTGTTTCGATGTGGGTGTTTGATTGCAGAATCACCATCCCCCTAATCTGAGGCACTCCAACAGTGAAGCACTGGGGAGGGGGTGCTTGGCGGTCTGGCCAGCTCCTTTTTTGGGAAATAATGATGTTAAAGCTTAAAACAACCCCCGGGGTGGCTTCACACCGCTGTCATCTCTGAGGCAGAGCAGCCCAGACCACGGTGCCACAAACCCGCTGGAGCTGCCCAGACTGCCACCCCCGAACCCCCAAATTTCTGTTTTATTGGAGAGGCTTTGAGGGCAGTCCAACCTCAGTCACTAAAACACACTCCTTCCTGTGACCTGGTTTCACCAAAAAACTCACAACCCAGTCCCTGAAACACCTTCCTGTGGTTAAAGTACATGTAGCGACCTTCAGCCAAAAAAGATTATTTATTATTTATCATGTTCGAGTGCGGGGTATTGATGCCTCTTCCCTCCTGCTGTGTCACTTCTTGTCGATTCCTCTTTAGGTCACTTAAGAGTTTCTTTTATCCCCACGACAACGAACTGCTGATGGTGTGAGAATGCCCCTGGTTACCGTCCCCGTGTAAATATTGTGCTTTATATTCTGTATATTAGCTAATTTTAATGGAAAAGACTGGACTGATGATGCTGTTGGATGATCCCAGGAGGGGAAAGGCCAGAGGATGACCCAGCTCCCGGCCTCTGGGGCTGGAATTCTGTGCTGGGAACCCGCAGCAGCTGGAATGGGACACCACCAGTGGATTTGGGACCACGAAACGCTTCGAGAATCCAATCCACGTCCGGAGGAGCCCTGAGAACTCCCTCAGCCAGAGCCAGAACCACCAGAACCACGCGGCCTCCTCCGAGCTCGGCGGATTTGCTCTGTTTTCCTTTTTTTAGTGCCAAAACCGACCCCACCAACCCCTTGCAGGTCTGCTGGTGGCTCTCTGTGTGCTGCTGTAGTGTCCAGCTGTGTCCAGCTGTGTCCAGGTGTGTCCAGCGGTGTCCAGCCAGTGCCCAGCTGTGCCCAACCAGTGTCCAGCTGTGTCCAGCTGTGTCCAGCTGTGCCCAGCCCACCCCACCCCTCCGTCCTGCCGGACCCCAGGGGCAGCAGCTGCCCATGAAACAGGTCCCAGTCGGTCTCCGGTGACGATGAAAACCACAAAAAACTATAAAATAAATACCAAACTCCTGGTTGAACGGCTCTGCGTGGTAATTCTTGGGGCGGAAAACGCCTCTAAAGCAAAAGGATTTGGCTCTAAGGAGGGAGGGACCATCCTCGTTCCCCAAAATCCGCCCAGCCCAGGTGATTTGGGGTCATAAAATAGCCCAAACTACCCTCAAAATCAGGGTCCTTCAGCTGCTGCTGTTGAAACATGACTCTCCTTGGAAATTAAAATACCCCCTGCACACTTCAGCCTTCTCCTGGCCCTGTGCCCCAGCCAGGCCCCACCTTTGGGTTAAAATCACCCCTTTTTTGCTAAAGTCTCAGTTCCTAAGGAGATCCTCGGTTGATTTCTCTTTCTCCCCGCCGAAATCCTCTCCGGCGGCTCGGCCCCGCTGAGCTCCGGGCACAGCCCCAGCCGCCGCCTCTCCTCGGGCCGTTTTTGTTGTTGTTTTCCCCGAATTTCCCTTTTTTAAAGGATTTTTGGCTCCTTCCCGCGCCCCGCCCATTCCCGCGTGCCGCGCGCGCCACCGCCCCTCTCCGGCCGCAACCATCACCGCGCGGGGGGGGGACGCGCCGCTGGGGACACCCCACAGGCACCCCACGGGCGGGGGGGGCGGGACACGACCCACACCCTCACACACAGTGGGAGGAGAGCGAGGGGCCGCTCCTCCAGCCCGCCGCTCCCGGAGCTTCATTAATTTATTAATTAATCGAGGCTTGTGTCTCCTCCCCCTGCGCGGTGGGTGGGGGCGGCCGCGGGCCGGGAGTGCGGCGGGGCCGGGATGTGGCGGCGGCTGCGGGCGCTGAGGGGCTGCGGGTGAGTGCGGGGCCCGGCCCTTATTCCTTCCTTTTTCTTCCCTTTTCCCTTCCCTTTTCTTCCCTTATTCCATTCCCTTCTCTCCTTCCCTTCCCTCCTTCCCTTCCCTCCTTCCCTTTTCTTCCCTTATTCCCTTCCCTTCTCTTCCCTTACTCCCTTCCCCGGGAGCCATCCCGCTGCCAGCCCTCAGTCCCCCTCGTTCTCCTTCCTCCTTTTTCTACCCTTGTTTCCCTACTTTTCCCCTTTGTTTTACCCTTTCCCCTCACTTTTTACCCGTTTTCCACAGTTTACCCCTTGTTTTCACTTTCACCCTTGTTTTTACCTCTTTTACACTGCTTTCTCCTGGTTTTTCTCCTTTACCCCCTTGCTTCCCCTCCTTTCTCCCTTGTCTTCTCATTTTCTTCTTGTTTTTTCTTTTTTCTCCCCTTTTCCCTCCCGTTTCCCCCCTTTTCCCCCTCGTTTTTCCCCCCTTTTCCCCTCGTTTTCCCCCCTTTTCCCCTCGTTTTCCCCCCTTTTCCCCTTCGTTTTCCCCCCTTTTCCCCTTCGTTTTTCCCCCTTTTCCCCCTCGTTTTTCCCCCTTTTTCCCCTCGTTTTCCCCCCTTTTCCCCTTCGTTTTTCCCCCTTTTCCCCTTCGTTTTCCCCCCTTTTCCCCTCGTTTTTCCCCCCTTCCCCCTCGTTTTCCTCCCCTTTTCCCCCTCGTTTTCCCCCACTTTCCCCCTCGTTCTCCCCCACTTTCCCCCTCACTTTCTCCCCTTTTCCCCCTCACTGTCCCCCCTTTTCCCCTTCCTTTTCCCCCCTTTTCCCCTTCCTTTTCCCCCCTTTTCCCCACCTTTCCCCCTCGCTTTTCCTCCCCTTTCCCCCTCGCTTTTCCTCCCCTTTCCCCCGCGTTTTTTCCCCCTTTTCCCCTTCCTTTTCCCCCTTTTCCCCCTTCCTTTTCCCCCTTTTCCCCCTTCCTTTTCCCCCTTTTCCCCCTTCCTTTTCCCCCTTTTCCCCTTCCTTTCCCCCTCGCTTTTCCCCACCTTTCCCCCTCGCTTTTCCTCCCCTTTCTCTCTCGCTTTCCCCCCCCTTTCCCCCCTCGCTTTTCCCCCCTTTCCCCCCTCCTTTTCCCCCCCATTTTCCCCTCCTTTTTTCCCCCATTTCCCCTTTTTCGGGCACTATCTCTGCGCTGGACGCTGTGACCCGCAGGTGGGGCTGGCTCTGCCAAGGTCCGGCCGGCCCCGTCAGCTCAGGGTGCCCGTGCGGCTTTTGCCCCCTGGGCTGTGCCAGCAGCCGGGGGAGCGCTGGCATTTGCATCACCCTGTGCCTCCTTCCTTAGAAACGCCTTTTCCAGCGTCTTTTCCTGAGCGGGACAGGGCTGGGGGCAGCTCCAGGCTCTGGCAGCCGCACCCAGCGGGAGAGATGGAGCAGGGGCTGGTTTGGGTGGGCAGCCTGGCACTGAGGTGTCCCCCTGGATCAAGGTGTCCTCTGGGATCAAGTGTACCCGGGGACCGAGGTGTCCCCTGGGATCAGAGTGTCACCTGGGACTGAGGTGTCCCCCTGTATCAAGGTGTCCTCTGGGATCAGGTGTACCCGGGGACTGAGGTGTCCCCTGGGATCAGGGTGTCCCCTGGGACCGAGGTGTCCCCTGGGATCAAGGTGTCCCCTGGGACCGAGGTGTCCCCTGGGATCAAGGTGTCCCCCAGCACTGAGGTGTACTCAGGGACCAAGGTGTTCCCCTGGCACCGACATGTCCCCCAGATTGAGGTGTCCCTAGGGCCAAGGTGTCCCCAGGACTGAGATGTCCCCCAGATCAAGGTGTCCCCAGGCACTGAGGTGTACTCAGGGACCAAGGTGTCCCCCTGGCACCGACATGTCCCCCAGATTGAGGTGTCCCCCAGATTGAGGTGTCCCCAGGCACTGAGGTGTCCCCCAAGACAGAGGTGTCCCCTGTGATCAAAGTGTCCTCTGGGATCAAGGTGTCCCCCAGCACTG